TTTTTAAAATTTAAAACCCTTTTTTAAGGTTTTTTTCAGTGAAAAAAATTTTACAAAATTTTTTTTAAAACAAAAATTATTACTTGTTTAAATAAAATTCCAATTTTTTTAACCATAAAATTTATTTTACAAAAATTTTGTTTCCCCAAAAGCCAGACTTTTAAAAATTTGTTTTTTAAATTTTCATTTAAGGGAAAAATTTTTCATTTTGAAAATTTTAATATTTCCAAAATTTTTTTAATTTTAAATATAAAACTTTTAAATTTATAACTTGCCGGAATTTTTAAATTTTCCCATGTTTTCCTTTTTCCCGGCTTGTTTCCCCCCAATTTTAAAAACTTGTTTATTTAGTTACATTTATTTTAAAAATTTTTAAAAACCCCTTTTTGTGCTTTTAAATGAAAATTTTGATGGCCCAAAAAAAAAATTTTTTGGGAAAACAAAAAAATTTAATTTTGGTTTTTTTTTTAAAGGGGAAAAATTTATTTTTGTTTAAAATTTCCCTTTTTTTTGTTCCCCTGTTTAACCTTTATAAACCATGGTTCCCCTTATTTAAAAGTAAAAAAGGCCATATCACTCACCCCGGTGCTTAAAATTTACAAATTTTAAGCCATACCCAGTCCCCCTGGCTTAACTTTCCCAAATATAAGAATATAATCAGCTCCCCCTTTCCAAAAATTTCAGAAAAAAAAAACCCAAACCCAGCTCAATGGGCTTTTAAATTTAAAAACCATATCACTCACCCCGGGTGTTTAAATTTACAAAATATAAGACCATATCAGCTCACCCCGGGTGCTTAATTTACAAAAAGCCATATCAGCTCATCGGGCAAAATTTAAAAAATATAAGCCATATCAGCTCACCCCGGTGCTAATTTCAATAAAGACAAATATCGCTCATCGTGCAAATTTACAATAAAACCTATCAGCTCCCGGGGTTTTAATTTAAAAATAAAAGACCTTTTCACTCCTGGTGCTTAAATTTACAAATAAAAGACCATATGCTCTCCGTGTTAAATTTAAAAATATAAGCCCAATCGCCATCTTTTGTTTAAAATTACAAATATAAGCCCAACAGTCACTGGGTGCAAAATTTTTAAAATATAAGACCATATCAGTTGGGTGCTATTTCAAATATAAGACAATGCTCACTGGGTGCTTTTAAATTTTTCGAAATTTTAATCAGAAACCTATCAGCTCGGTACTTGATTTACAATATGGATTATAATAGGTTCAGTCGGTGGCTTAATTTACAAGTATAACACCGATACCTTTCACTCGGTACTTCATGTACAGTTTTAAACCATATCAAGCTCACTCGGTGATCTATTTGCAAAATATAGATCATAATTAGCTCACATTGGTGTTTAATTTACAAATATAGATCATGATTAGCTCACTTGTGTTTAATTTACAAATATAAGTCATTAGCTACTTGGGTTTAATTTTACAATTAATTCTATATTAGCTCACTCGTTGGGTTATTAAATATATAGATCATTTAGCTCCTCCGTGTTTAATTTACAATGTCAGTCATCATTAGCTCACCGGTGTTGTATTTACGAATTATAAGATTCATATTAGCTCATCGGTTTGTTTATATACAATATAGATCCTTTACTCACACGTGTTTTTTACAAATAAGATATTTAGCTCACTCGGTTGTTTAATTTAAAACGTATAAGATCATATTTCTGCTCACACGTGTTAAACTTTAAAATCATAAAGATTCATATTTACCTCATCTGTCTTTATTTTACAGGATAAGTATATTACCTCACCTCGGAAACAAATACTAATCAAGTTACTATATTTAACGTTTCTAATCTTGATATTTGTATCAACAGATTTTGGATGTCAGCGATTGTCCATAGGGCCGTTCAGACAGGGGCTGCCAACTCAGAAATTTCTCGCAAATATCGAACAAGGGTTGATTGAAGAAGAAAATTTAAGCAGTACAAGACAACAACTGTAGTGAGGCTTTATTTAGTATGGGACTTGTGGCAATCTTCTTTGGACATTGGGTTGATGCAACTTTTGTGCAGTGATTTTTGATTCCTTATTTTCACCAATACACTGCATGTTTTATTTCCTGTGAAAACATCGCATGTCTTCCAGGTCATAAGTGTAGGTCATTAACAAGACTTCTAACTCTGCAAGGATTTCGATTGAGTTAGAACTCTATTCTCTCTATAAATAGTATACTTGTCATCCGCTTAATTATTTTTTTTTCAGGAGCAGGAAAACGCCATTACCATAAGACCACCTCTTCTTTTATATTCAGTTGCCTATAACATTGTTTTCTACAAAGCGAAAAATAGTTTGAAACTAATTAAAGAGTAATCCTTTTCAAAACTTCGGTCACATTTGGCTTTACTGTTACCCATTTTAAGTATTGATTTTATTTATTTTCGATTGTACCGCTTTTTTGTTGGCGTGTTGGTGGCCTCAAGTAAAGAATTTTCAACTCAAGACCCCCAGAAACTGAAAAGTCCTGGCGATAGATTTTTACTAACGTGACTACGTGGAATATATGTGAACCTACGTGAATATTGTGCAATATGTGTGAACTATGTATTTGTGAACATGCTTCTAGGTGGACTTCATCAAATGTTTGTTTATATATCTTTACCCTTCCTCATTATTTGGAATCTTTGTGCTAATAGCTGTTTCTCAAAAAGCGAGATAATTTATTGGACAGACTTTCAGAGTCGTGACCTTCTTTTCGTTAAACTGTTCTACCTTTGTCTCTTGTGTGCCTGTTTGGGTTATACCTGTTGGAAGCTCAATTTTATGTATATTGAACTGAAATGCTTTTAAAACTTTCAATGGACTGCAGGACAATCTATTACATAAATTAGGAGGTTAAATGGTTAACCAAAGTAATGCAGTTAAGTTAGGTTTCACCTTGACCTTTGACCTTATTTTGGTTATGTTTCACCGTACACTGGAACTATTACGGTTCATCGTGGTAACTTGCCTGACTGTCTGTTTAACAGTCTTGTGCAATGGGTAAAGATGACCAGACATTATTTTTTCAAGGTACTAGTAGGCACATGGATATGAACCACTAAAAAACAGAAGGTGAAATTATATAACTACTCTTTCACTTAAATTCTCAAATTCCATCTCTACCCTTGATTTTTCGTAATTAGGGAAGAATTATTGTCGTTTATTTTTATGAGAATTGAGTTGCTGTAGTAGCTAATAAAAGATATCAAACAGAAATTCATGTTCATCAATTAATGACTGATCTTGCACATTACTTTCGAATTTCTTTTATTTTATGTATAAGGTCATGAGCTAATCCAGTCAGCGATTAAGACTGAATTTTAGTTACCCAGTAGCATATATCAAGTTACCCAGTAAAGTATTAAAGCTTGAACACTAAGCCAATAAATATTACTAAGTAGCATTAAATTTTGAATTTTTAGTTTACCGTCAACATTAAAAGTTCCCAGTAAGCTTTAAAAGTATTGATATTAGTTGCACTTTAAGCTTTAAAAGTTTAAACCGTAAAGTTTATTTCCGAACAACGTTACACCACACACAGGATTATTACACACAGATTGGAGAAGTGAAATGTTAGTAACGTACTGCATATGTATCAGCCAATTTGAATCCGGCTAAAAGAATATTTTGCATTGAATTGTTTGGTTATAGGTTACACACTATGTTTCAGCAGAGACTAATTTCTCAATGGCGCTCTGCATTCATTTCTTTTTAGGTTTTTCGATTTTTATCAGGGATATTAATTTTTATAATATATCTCTGATTTTAAGAACTGTGTATTGTAGGCGCAAGTGAGAAAAAAAATCCGATGCCCCTCTTTGCCACTGTACAATTCACTGTATAACCCCTTATTCCACTTTCAATTATGCTACGACGATCACAAAATGACAGCGACATTCAGTCTCAATATTATCAGCCATCCACAATTCTTTAACCGGTTGAAGCTGTCCGGCTATATTTCGTAAATTTGTGAACACAATGTGCCCTGCTAATGTCTGAAATACCTAGTCTTGTCTCAAAGCTGAGAAATCGGCTTCATAGCTTTAATTTAAACCCAGGTATTCTGAATAAACATTTTTACATATAAAAGAAACGATTATATTTCTAAGCTTCTATGATCAATGAATTTTCCATCATGAACATTGTTGCTCAGTTGTTTATATGTTGTTGTGCTGTTGTTATTTATTTTATAAAACATCATCATATTGTGTAACTTGAATTTTATTGCTTCTTTTACAACCTTATAGCTCCATACTAAACCAATGAAAACAGAACACTTTCATCAATGTGTATAATGCAATGTCCAAGTTAACATCCCAATTTTATAACCATTGTGGATGATGGTCAGGTGAGTATCAAGGGCTCAACTTGACTCTCTTGTATGTATGAAGAAAAACACATTATTTCAGTTTTACACATGGACATATGTAAAATAACCTAAGAACAACAAGTTTGGGTTTTATTTTATTTTACAAAAATATTTTTCATTTACTCAGTAACAAACATATACATGTATATAATAAGTATAGATATATGAGCCGCGTCATGACAAAACCAACATAGTGCGTTTGCGACCAGCATGGATCCAGACCAGCCTGTGCATCCCGCAGTTGATCTGGATCCATGCTGTTCCCTATCAGTTTCTCTACTTGTAATAGGGGTTTGTAAGCGACAGCGATGGATTCTGATCAGACTGCGTGGATGTGCAGGCTGGTCTGGATCCATGCTGGTCGCAAAACCCATTATGTTGGTTTTGTCATGATGCGGCTCATATACAGTTTCATGTGCATAATTATTCATAGGAGGCTTAAATTTAATTTTAGAAATTAATTAAAAACTTGTTAGATGGGATAATAATAGAGTTAAAGAGAATCCACTGAGGTTTTTGACATGAGGGACTGGAAATTTTTTCCCAAGATTTGTGTAGTCTGAACCAGTTACATGTGTTAAAAAATTCAAATCAATCTCTCACCCTATTTTTCGGAAAATAAATCAATCTCTCACCCTATTTTTCCAAAAATAATCATTTATATTCACAAAAAAAGGAAAAGCATTGCAGCGCTTAAATCAGGCTATGAACTGCACAAAAAATCAATATTTCATTTGAGCCGCGTCATGACAAAACCAACATAATGCGTTTGCGACCATCATGGATCCAGACCAGCCTGCGCATCCGCGCAGTCTGATCAGGATCCATGCTGTTCACTATCAGTTTCTCTACTTGTTATAGGGTTTGCTAGCGAACAGCATGGATCCTGATCAGACTGCGCGGATATCCCCTTTGTTATTTACACATGTACTTAAATTGCCTTCCTCCCTTGTTTCAAAAGGCAATTCTTTACTTGAATTGTCTGCCTTGTTTCAAAATGCATTTCTTTATTTTAATTGTGTCCCTTGTTTCAAGAGACAATTCTTCACTAAATTGTCTCCCTTGATTCAAATTGCAATTTCATACTAAACTGTCTTTCTTGCGTCTAAATAACAAACTAAATGCAGCACATAACAATGAACATGAATAAGACTTAGATGTCAAAAAAACAAACATAAATGATACATAATAAACCTCTTTCATCTAATGACTAGGAATGTTGAAAAATTCTATAATATATATTGGAATTAACCCTTTGTTGAATGTATATTTGATCTGATTTGAATTTGAAACTATCAGTTACTACTAACACTGTAAGTGTTATTTTATTGGATCAATATCATAAAATATGTGTTGATTTGTTTGTAACACAACCTTTTTACAAACTAGCAAAAAACATACAGAGCAACAATTTTCAGAATGAGATGTATGGTTAAGTAGCTAACAAGCAAAAACTTAAACTAAGTTAAAAGAAAGCCATACATACATAAATACATGTAATTCATAAGGACACAAAATGTCATATGGAATGGAAGACATGTCAAATTATCAATGTAATTTTATTTTTGATAAAGGCAAGTTAATAATAGCAAAATCACACAATTGTTAATCAAACCAATCAGGTGTCAATTTGACACCTACATTAGACCTCATATATAATCTGTAGCTATCTGTCCAGTTATATTGTGTCCCAGGTAAACATAACATGGGCTTGGCGTGAAACAGTTGTAATTTCTTAAAACATAAAGAATGAATTACAACCATTGCACACTATAAGACCTTAAATTATCAGTTAAAAATAACAAAAATAGTCACATTTATAGAATAATAAAGATTTTCAAAACAAACGTTATACATGTTAAAATGAAAACTCACAATTTTATGTTATCAATGACTCAAATATACATGTATAAAATTTAGTAAATTTGAAAATGAGATTCTTTCTGACAAATATAACAATGGAAACTGTTCCCAGTTAAAACAAACAAAATCAAAAAAGTAAGTTAATCACATTAACACTACACTGTCCCGGAAAGAAAATTCCAGATGTCAATTCATATCATTAAGTAGAATTTGAAAGAATATACAGTATGAGGAGTAGGAAAATGAGCCAGCCCATACAATTTATCAGTTGCTTCCCATACAGAATATAAATGATTTTGAAAATATTTTTGATCCCCTAAGAAAGTGTCATAAAATCTTAAAATACAATTGACTAAATGACTTAGAAAGGTTGAAAATGATTAAAAAAGAGGTATAACTTAGAAGAATCAATTCTGTGGGCTGACTAAGTAAAACAGTCTTAAGCCCTTCCACCCTAATCTACCCAAATCTACTTGACTTTATAGTATCATAGTGACATTAAACTCATTACATTTTCTTTCTTTCTTAAGAGTATTGTTTAGATGTTTAAATGCACAGAGGATTTTTAAGAATATAAAAAACTTAATACATGTACACATAAAATAAACAAATCTTGAGATTCAATGTACACTTAAATATACAACTGTTGATAATAGTGATAATAGCAGCACCTTTTGTAAAGATTTAGTTTTAAATTTTATCATCTTTATATAATTATGCTTAATACTGACCATTCTCATAATAAAACTTGATGCTATAAAAAGTTCAGTTCTAAATAAATGAGCAAACCTAAAACATTTGTTGTAAATATCAGTTCATGCAATTTTATTTCATTTTCTACATCATAGTCTGAACTGTTTTGTTCATTGTTGGATTTAATATCAATCAAATCATAAACAATTATTACGATCATGAAATCTATTCCATCGGCAAATCCCCTTCTCCACTCCGTAATTTTCCGATAACTTCACCAAGCATCTGGTTACACAGAGCAGCATACGGATTCATGGTTACAAGAAGCTGTTTAGCGAACTGTCCACCAAGATTTGCAGCATTCCTCAGATCTTCTTTACAGCCATCATCATCACCTAAAATAAATTTGTATCACATGACATCATTTACTTTCAATGTAAAACTTGTAAAATATATTTTTAAGATATTCATATTAAATACCCCCTAAAGAAAATATGCCCATTTCTTGTTATTTGATAACCTTGTTTGTAATAAAAATGGTAATATCTTGTTCTAGAACCGTTTATTAATATCAATTTATAGAAAATTCTTACTACATTATACAGTTGTCTCCCTTGTCACAAATGCCATTTATAATATTCTAAAGTTGTCTCCCTTATCTCAAATAGCATTTATATTTTTTAAGTTGTCTCCTTTTACACAAATGACAATTATAATTCCTAAATTGTCTCCCTTGTCACATACAATGTATGACAGTTGTCTACCATGTCACAAATGGTATTCATAATCTAAAGTTGTCTCCCTTGTCACAAATATTAATCATTCAAATTTTACTTTGTACATATGTCTAATGTATACCTGTGTAGCTAAAAATAGGTTTTTCATAATTACATGTATGCATGCCAGTGAAACTTATTACACAGCATGTGTTTTACAATCTCAACTGTTGTTTACAAATTTAAAAAAAAAGAAAAAAAAAAAAGAGAGAGATAGATAAAGAGCATACAATTACAATTTGTTTTCAATCTTTTCTTAGGTATTTTTGAAGGATACGTAACACTGTAAACATAATTATTCACAGTATTACAGTTCTTCAGTTATAGTCATTTTCCCTTCAACAACATTTGCATGTGTTTGTTTGTAAAAGCTACTGGCTGGGCTGAAAATAACTCTCATGAGGAACATGCAGGACGACAATGTCCAACTCAATCCAAACATTACCAGGAAAGAATAGTCAAAACAAAAATGTGGCATGTATCTTTAATGACCCGAAAGTTTAAATGAATTTTACCTTCAAGACGTTTAATAATTCCCCTCTGAGTATACGCCTGGCAAGCTACCTTCCTGTGTCCCCCACTCAACTCTATGGCTTTATTTAGATCCTGTAAAGCCCCTGAAAATACATGTATATAAATTGTTAAAATCAGTCTTCTAAAATAACAAGCGTATATTATATGTAAGTTTATAACAGGAAGCAGACTTGAAACTACAAACTTTCTATATGTGCATGAAAACTCAATTTTTGGGGAAAACTACACATCTTGATATTTTCAAATAAAGTCAGTAAGAGTAATAGACATAGAGATGCTCCAGAACTCAGCAAATATGGGTTTTTCCTATCAAACCTGGGGTACAAAGTTAAAACATGGTAAGTATATTGATAATAATGGCAAAACATTGACCCCTGCATTGTGAACAGTAGGGCACTATGAAGCTATGAAGTAAAAGTTTGTTTGTACCCTTCATTAGAAACTGATGGAGAAATACATATTTGCCAAACTGTGAACAGCAGCAAAAAAACAAAACTGTTTCAACTTTTGACAACAACTGAACCGTTTTGACTTGTTTCTTCAAAGACGTGACAGGTTATATGACCATACACATGACCAAAACTTAAAGTCATGTATAAAATAGTTTTTAATTTTCAAAATTTCTCAAATTGCAGTGTAATTTTTCACTTGAGCCAGGGGCCTTTTCCCAAAACAGCTGGTTCAGGAAGACATCAATAGACCACTGGCAAAGAGTGCAGAATAAAGGACACCATTACCTGACACATCACCATGTAACCTAAGAGCTTGAGCTCTGTTATTATAACTTGAAGCATGGTCAGGTGCTATGGTTACAGCTTGATTCAACAACTCAAGTGCCTTGTCAATATTCCCTGATTCTGCTGCTTTGACACCTTCAATCTCAAGTCTTTTAGCTTCCTTCACCTCATCTGTCTCTTCCTCTGAAACAAACAAGGATATTATGGTTAGTTTAAACATGTTTATTATAGCATGATAACAATGAAAGTGGGGGCATCTGTGGCCTACTGGTAAAGGTCATTGACTTCAAACCACTTGCCCCTCACCGCCGTGAGTTGGAATCCCTGCAGGGACTTTGGATTCTTTCATGTGAGGAAGCTATCAAGCGAGCTTACATTACATCGGTGGTTCTACTCAGGTGCCCGTTCGTGCCTGTAATAATGCACGATAGGACACCTGAGGTCTTCCTCCACCAGTAAAGCTGGAACGTCGCTAAATGACCTATACTGTGTTGGCGTGACATAAAACCCAATCAAACAAGCAAGCTAACAATGTTAAGTGCTTGCCTATTTGGCCTAAAGTAAAATATTTTTTGTTTTCCCATTCTGCTAACTACCTACAAGTCACGCGGCGCATAGAAGCAGAGTCAGTGCATGAGAATCATATCATAATATCTGTCTCTCATTTTTGCAGTGGTATAAATACACAAACTAAGCTTTTTTTTTTTCAGAATAAAACTTTGAAATGTTTGTACTAAACTTAAAAATCAATTCATAATGGCATTTCGCTTGTTAACAATCTGATGTCATGGGTACTTATATTTGGAAAGATTTATCATAATTCTGTTTACAATTCCTTTTTTTTTTAAATAAAACACAATATAATAAATTAATATTCATTCATATTATTGAAATTTTCCACATATTACACTCATTTGTCCACATTGATTAAATGATGTTTACTTAAAGTTGCCATACTGAGTCTGAAGATACACGTTAGAAAACAATAATTCCCATAAATCAACGAGTCCCAGAATGAGTTGCAAAAGAAATCCATTTTTAACAGCAGACTTTTGACAGGCTCAATTACCAGACATCTATTTTTTTTAAAGATTAAGTGATATTGGCACATTGTATTTGTACATAAAGAGTTATTTTCTGTACTGTATTGAAGTAATTTCTAGCATGTACAAGAATAATGTACACATTGAATCAGACATGCCAAAGTGTTGATGAGCCAAATCTATTAAAATTGGGCTTGACCATCATAAACTATTTATTTATGATATGAATAAGGCAAAGCCCAAAAGTGAGCTCTTTATGAGTACAATACACTTAGAACTGCACACTTTTGGGCACACAATTCACACAACACAACCACACACTATTTTTCTACTTTCGAATTACAGCCATTTCATGTTTTATATGATATCTAAATTGAATCAACCTGTCAGAGAACATAAATTCACTTCAATCCAATTTTCGGGTTAATAATTCCATTTTGGGAAAAGGATATAGTGAAACGAGAACCTACCCTTTGGGCCAGCTCTACGAGCTTACTATAATAAAAAGCGGGTAACGTCTAATACATGTATAGAGGACAAGGCTCTCACGATTCTTTATGTACCAACATTATACTTAATGAGATTTGAAAAAAGGTAGCATTTTAAAAATCAGTATCAAATGCAAAGTCGAGGGGCAAATGGCACTTTAACAATAACTACGAAAGCTCATCTTGAGTATTTATGCACACAGACACTTTGGGTTATGTGCGTGGCTCCCATTCTTGATCCGCACTTATATACATATGTCTATTTCTTTTTTGCAAAATATTTTTGCATATTATTACAATCTGGTCACATGTCTAGAACCTAAAACTTGTTTTCTGCTATATTGACAATGTTTAAAAACCTCCCTAAAATATCAAAATTTCATGAAGATTACAAAAAAAAGACATTATTTTATCAATAATTTGATTTCACTTGAAAAGTCATTAAAATTTTACATAAAAGAACTATTTAAAGACATTGATTTATAACATAATAGTGATGAGTTGATCAAAAGTAGGGGAAGGGTTGACCATATTAGGGACGAGTTGACTCTTTGAGGACGAGTTGACCAAAAGTAGAGGACGAGATGACCAAAAAGGTGACCAGAAGACCACGGGACGAGTTGACCACGGGACGAGTTGACCAGATTGCCCCAGCTATGGCGCGCCCCGCTATAGACCACATGTGTATATTTAAAAAGAAAAAATAAAAACAAAAAGGAAAAAAAATAGAATTCTATACCTATCAGCGAAATTTTCAGTGTCATTTCTTGTTAGGCACCGTAACGCAATGATAAACGACGAGTAATTCTATATAAATTGACAAATCGCAACTTTTCGGCCTACAAGATAATGATAGAAGACCAGGATTTATGGGCAGCCATCTTGGATGGGAGCCATAATAAGACAGAAACAAGAACAAATGGAAGCAGTGTATAAAATACCGAATGACACTTTTAAAATGGAAAATGTAAAATAAAAATACCGACTTCCCCATTCATAGGCTTTGCCAAATTTCATATTAGAAGAATATATACCTCGACTGATTGACACCAGAAAGAAATGACATGTGAAAACATAAATGCTTGAAATGCATGTTGGTCTGTTGTGTTTACATTTCAAAGCTTGGCATCTTCAGGAAATTAGAGTGTGGGTAAAAAAATTGATTTTTTCAAAAAGTTATGAAATTCTGTTCAAACTTGTTCATGTGTTAGACACTAAACCGTCTTATACTAATATCAGAGAAAGAAACTAGTTTTTGTTATAAATATTATTTTTAGGTTTTAGTATTCAGGGGCGGAGAAGAGCGGAGTACACTCCCAAGTGCCTGCGTTTATGCGGTAGACAGACGTTTCACTATTGAGACGTTTCACTATTGAGACGGTTCACACCAAGACGTTTCACTCCCAAATGGGAGTGAAACGTCTTGAAGACGTTTCACTCCCTTTTTATACCAAAATTATTTTGATACTTATGATATACTAAAATAGACCTAAAATATTGAATTGAATTGAACTAAAATAGACCTTAAATTTAATAAAAATAAATTAAAAAGGGGAATTTCACTTTTTTGTCAATGACTTAAAACTTTGTACTTTAAGTTCTATCATTTCAGATCTTTTGTAAACATGGACTCAAAGGGCAATTTTAATTTAAAGCATAACAATCTTGTGACAACAATTAACTTTGAGTAATGTGTCTTTTTGTTGTTAATTTTAATCATGGGATAAAAAATTGTTAAATTATTTAATGCTAGTATAGTGCTTTTGCGATATATGTCAAAAAATTGAATGGCCATTGAAATCAGAAATATCTTTAAATTAAATTAGGAGCATTAGGACTTTTTCAATATTTGTCATGTATAATCATTTTTTGTGGCTAAAATTCATTATTATATAAACAAAACTTATGGCTGTTGGCTGTTGTCAAAAAATATTTTAATGGTCCAATAAACAACTGATTAGTAAACTGTTGATGCTTAAGTGCAGTGTTTATACAACTGATTTAATAGTGGTGTCAAACTGTTAGTTGATTGTCTCAGTGTTTATACAACTAATTAGGCGATGAGATAATACCACAATTACTTAAGTTTGTTTAATGGCTACTGTTTAATAAATTGATGAAGAAACTAATTTATTTTATACATATGTTTCGCATTTCATTGTTTAAGACTTACAAAAAATAATCATTATATAGTCAATATATTAATATATTGATATTTTTTATTATTTGAACAATATTAATTACTTTACTGGTATTTAAACTGATACTTATAATATGTCTTTGTTGTTCTTTCTATGTTATTATATTTTTTTAATTTACTATAAACAGAATTTTCTCATGTTGTTAAACTTATAATAAAAGTGATATTTCAGAAATTTGTCTTTCATTTACACATCTTATCACTCAACCCATAATTAAATGAGTAATCTTCTAATAATTCGTATTAACAATACCATTGAAATCAACAAAATGAAACATTAAATTGAATTTCCTTTTTACACTGCTTGATATTAATGAAATTAAAATTTTTGTTAACTTTCCTAGTAAACATCTCTAAAAAAATTAGGAGTGAAACGTCCATACAATTGACAAAATGGGAGTGAAACGTCTAGGTGTGAACCGTCTCGGGAGTGAAACGTCTCAATAGTGAAACGTCTTGGGAGTGAAACGTCTGACATTCCGTTTATGCATAGAGCATCCGAATTAAGCGAACGTATTTTACATATTGTAAGCGTTGTCATCACCTGGAATTTCCTCAAGTGGTACATCTCCTTCAACGTTATCACCATAAGGCAAACTTGGATTGAAAATCCTCGTTAATACATCTTTATCGTGGGAAGAAAGTTGTGAATTTTCCATTATTTTGACAAGGTGACTGCCAAAAAGCAATTTGTTGTCGTAAATGTAAACAAAATTTTGATGCTTTTTATTATTTTTATTATCATTGAACATTACAAATCTTAAAAAGTGAATATTTTTCACATTTAATTATAATAAAAAGTTTACTTTCCCCGATGTAAAAAAAAAAAAAATTTGCCCCCCCCCCACCCCGAAAAAAAAGGTTATGGAATACTAAATATATATTATATGCGTACATTTTAAGCTGTGCTTATTTGAAACGGCCGAAATAAAACTGGTTAACTTACATATGCTAGTTTTTAGTAATATGTTAAGTAATATAGAAATGTTAGCATAGCCTGCATAATTGCATAACAATGACATGCTAATTTCTTGTAGGGTTAGTATGCTTGAAAAACAGAACACTTTAAGATGTATGTGTTTCAAACAAACCTGTCGTGTTTCGGTAAGTGAACTCAATTTATAACACCAATATCTACGCAGTCGGTAATGCAATTATTTTTTATAAATACTTGATAAATATGCATATATATATATATATATATATATATATATATATATATATATATATATATATATATATATATATATATATATATATATATATATATATATATATATATATATATATATATATATATATATATATATATATTATAAACATTACATGTATATCAATTGAACACATCAATAACCATATTTATATCTATAGACACGTATTGAACATCATAGACTAAGGACCCGTACCTGATAAGTTCTGATATTATTCTCATTATTTTGGGCAGCATTTTAAGCTTTGATACTGTGTAAAATAAATTCAGTAAGTTCCTACGTAAAATAATTAAAGTGTTCACTAGAAAAACGTAATGAGGTCTGAATGCAAGAACTAAAGGCTAAACTTTTTTCCCTTGTTTTAAGAAACAGATAAAAAAAACAAATTGTGCGAGACAGAATATATATTTTGTGAAAATCAATTTGGTTTCAGAGATTAAAAAAACACAACCGATGGTATATTTTTATTACATTGTATTATCCAAAAAGTGTTACCTGATAAAAAGAAATTGTTTTTTTTTGTATTATAGACTGCAAAAAGGCCTTCGATACAGTTAAAGATCCTGTAACACATTTTTTTCATGGTTTTATTTCATAAATATGATGCTCAAATTAAGATCTGTCAATATTGTAAGTTCCAATAAGCATTATTTATAAAGATATTACCGAATTTGACATTTCATGTAAATAAAGGGAGTTAATTAGAAATTTATTTTCTATAAATTCTAAGTCAAATTTTCCAATAAGAAATTAATGCATATAATTTATTGATTAAATATAAGGTGCACAAATATTTGCAGTACACATTTTACATATTCTTCGATTTTTGCAAATGGTTTTATTTGCATAATTATATACATATATAGTTTTATGCAAGTGCGGTATACACAATTTCTTCTCACTTCCCCTCGGAGCGTGCACGTCGCTGACAAGGCACAGGGCATCGGCAGAAGATTTACAACTTGGCTGGTAGACAACTTTAACGGCGCCTTCAACCGTGGGCATTAACTACGGAATCCTACTTCGTCACTTCTGCGGACCAGCTGCCGATGTCCTGATTAATGCCGAGGGGAGTGGCCCTACAAAGTAGGCTGAGACGACGAGGATGGTGTACTAGGGTGCGTGAGCCCCTAGTACAGATAGACGGCTTGTAAGGCAGGCCTAGTGCTGGCACCAACAGCCCTTTTCAGGGCTAAAACACCTTTCCTATTGTCAAAGGTTACTGTACATTTAGGTTCTCATTGACCGCCGTACAGTGACCTACTTTTCGGCTCAAAATTCATATCTTTGGCTAATACTCCGTGGAAATTGCATGGAGGTAAATTATCACCATTTTGTGCTTCAAAATTAACTCTTTAAGGACATGACTGGTGACATGTCCGGGGTCCGTACTCGACAGCGCAAGCTGCATTTTGTGCCCGGAAGGGCGGATGGACCCTCATTAAGCTTTAACTACATACATACGTATACACAATTTACTTCTCACCTCCCCTCGTAGCGTGCACGTCGCTGAGAGGGCACAGGGCATCGGCAGAAGATTTGAAGACTGGGGACGACGCTAAAAGATCGAAACTTGTGCTGCGGACCAGCTGCCGGTGTCCTGACCAATGCCGAGGGGAGTGGCCCTACAAAGTAGGCGCTTGGGTCGACGAGGACGGTGTGCTAGGGTGCGTGAGCCCCTAGCACGGTTAGACGGCTTGAAAGGCAGGCCTAGTGCTGGCGCAAATAGCCCTTTTCAGGGCTAACCACCTTTCCTATTGTCACAGGTTACTGTACATTTAGGTTCTCATTGACCGCCGTACAGTGACCTACTTTTGGCTCAAAATTCATATATTTGGCTAATACTCCGTGGAAATTGCATGGAGGTAAATTATCACCACTTTGTGCTTCAAAATTAAGTCTTTAAGGACATGACTGGTGACATGTCCGGGGTCCGTACTCGACAGCGCAAGCTGCATTTTGTGCCCGAAAAGGCGGATGGACTCTCATTAAGCTTTAACTTCAATCAAATTATACACACTTTACAGAATCACCTTAACTAAAGATCAATATAAAGAAAACCAAAATTTGTATTAATGAAAAGCGTAAAAAAAATCTCGAGAGCAAAGACAATTTTACATTGATGATAATGTTATTGATATTGTAGACAATTTTTGTTACCTAGGATTAACTTTTGTTTCAAATGGTATTATAGCTGAAACAGCTAAGATTCTTTCTGACCAGGCTTTAAAGGCAATGTCTATTTACAAGAATGCATGTCGATATTATAACGAAGCTAAAACTGTTTGATTCCCTAGTTGCACCAATTTTGCTTTATCCTGCGGCAGTATCAGGAATATATTGTCCTAAAGAGGTTGATAAGATTCGTGAACATAAAAATTTGCAAAACCATATTAGGTGTGAAATCACAGACTCCAAGTTACGCTGTTTTAGGTGAATTCGGGAGATTCCCCTTATCAGTTATTTGCCAAGAAATATCCCTAAATTATAACACTAAATTAAAGTCAAATTTAGATTCAATAATGTATAAGTTATTTTCTATTGAGTGTAATAGTAATAATGATAAAAATTGGGCACTCTCTGTAAAAAAGCTATTGTATAATCTTGGTTTAAATGATATATTGGATAATTTTAATGAAGATGTAAACTATTTTTCTACTTTGTTACGAAGATTGAGAGATCAATTTATCCAACATTTGCATACTTCAATCAATAATTTGCCAAAATTATCTTATTATGTTCAATTTAAAACTCTATTTGAATCAGAGGAATATCTTTATGAAAAAAGTGACAAATTAGTGAAACTGTCTGCATCCTTTACGGAAAAATTATGGTATCATTTTATCAGGTGACATAATTATTATTTTCTGAAACATCATTATCAGTAAAAACTTCATTTGCAGATTTTATACAAAAACATAACACATGCAGATTTTTCAAAGTCTTGTATTCCATGGCCAATGTGTTAAGTTGCTGTGGGTTCCAATCCCGTAAAGGACACACAATCCATTCAATTAAGACAATACCTAGATGGCACACAGAATATGGTAGTTCTACTGTTTTGGGTTATATACAGAGAAGCATCTGAATAGAGAATAACGGAAGCCCAACAAGGTAAAATTGACAATGTTGCAGGCTAGGTTTGATTTAGCCTGTTCATGGACGGTAGTGGTAATTGAAAGCTTGAAAGTTTAAGTCTTTGTCCACCAGTAAAGCTGGAAAGTCACCATATCATTGTCTTGGCCTCAAGCAAATAAAAAGAACTTATAGCTGCGAAACAATAATGATAAAGAAACAGACATCTATACCATACTTTATTGAAATCTAAATCCATCTCAATCAAATTCAATAATAAATCATTTTAGGATTTCTGCACTTTAAAACAGAACACAGCAAGTGTTTATTGCAGTCCTAAAGGTTTTACGTATTTGAAATGTATTGGTCGTTTCCCTTAAAGATGACATTTGAAGGACAGATGCCAATGAGTAGCATTTAACAAAAAGAAACATCTTTAAAAAAGATACCCAGCCGACATAAAACTGGGTAACTTGCATGTGTTATTTCTAAGTTTTCGATACATATAGAAATGTTAGAAACGGTTGCATAACAATGAAAATAATAAAAACAATGACATAATAATAAACTCTTGTAGCTAAGAAAATAAAAGAGTCTGAAAACTATTAAATAATAAGAATATTGATATTGATGTTTATTCAAAGTATCAAAGAAGGCGAATTCTATTTTGCAATATTTATATAGGTGTCCCTATTACTTGCTTTTACGTGTGACTTTATAAATTTTATAATTATGTAGTATTGATAATGGCAATATTTCTAACACTAGCATATACGCATATTTGTCAATTCTTGAATACTATGAAAAAATACGATTATGCAAATTATAAACAGTATATTATATAATATATTGGACACTTATTGAACATCATAAACTGAGGGTACCTGATAAGTTCTGATTTTTTTTATTGAAAACCAGTGACAATTATTGTCATAAATAGGAAAGAAATATCGAAAAAGCGCCGGTGATTGAAATAATGAAATAAACAAAACGGGAATGGAAAAAAGTATTTACACTGTTATAGATGTACACACATTTCATTAAGTTGGATATCCTTCATGTAAAAAAGTATGAGTAAAGCACAATTTTTTTTCTGTACAAACTATTTACATTTTGAATATACATGCATATATTATACATTGTTGCTATAGTGTATATGTTTAAAACGTATCTTCATTATCCTCCATGTGTGTATTAAAACATGTTTATTTTACATTTAAAATTAGACTTTATAGAAATTATCAGTATTTTCAAATATCAAATTTATACATATCTTAAAACAATTAAAATCTGACACTAAAAGTCGCGGGGGGGGGGGGGAACAGCAATGAAAAAACAATTATTTTGCCTGTCAAACGATTGTTCGAAGAATCTAGTCTAAAAGGTCACTATCTTTAATAACATG